AAATTGTAAAGTGGAAGAAGAGTACGAAATCAGCATTAAGGCATCTCAGAGAAGCAACTAATCAAACGAATAACCGAAAACTCATCCTTTTTGACTCAATAGCCCTTGGTCCCTTTGCTATGCAGACGAGACGTACGTAGACACTTTAAAGACGTTAAGAATTTTATGCCCCACAAGAAACACATGAATCGCATACGAAAAACAAATGGCACATAAGATTTTACACTAAGCAGAAATATTCGAAATCTGGATGAACACAGTTCGCAAACAGAACATGGTGCAGGTCAAGTAATACGAAGTACACAAACTTTTAGTTGGGTGAGAAGAACGGTGGAGAAAAATGTAAATGGGTTAGCAAGACTCTCAAGTACTGGTCATCCGAGTTCAAATAAGTTCAGCACGAGCTGAGAAATGTGTTCCGTAATTTAGAAATTAAAACCTCATAACAACTTTCTGATAACATAGTGAACTGCCACAGTCACCATCTCGAATAGAATAACTGCTCGTCCAAAATTTTTTTAGGAATGTTTCTAAGGATTCTAAGCGCCCGAGGTTAAAGTGAGGCTAGAAAGTGAAGAAAATTGCTACTCTGAGTGTTATACAGCGGTTTTTCTTAGTCTTTTTCCTCCTTCTGGCTTTTACTTATTTTCCATTTTCTTTTCTTACTTTAACAATGACTACAAGGGAAACCAAATGGTGCGAACAAGAGACGACCAAAGCGGCAAAATGTAAACTTGTACTCTTCGCCGCTATCGTTACTTTCATTTACTACAATTCGCTGTTATACCAAAACTATTCTAATATCCTATATGGGAAGAGAAACCATAGGGAAGAGACTTCAAAACAGACTGTTCACTTTTTCGCTTCGGAAGGTGGAGAATACGACCCTATCTCCATATAGGATGTTCGGCGAGTTGAAGTGGATAGGGTGTGAGGTGCAGACAGGAGATCATTTCAGGACGGACAGGTTCTATGGAACAAAGCACGGGTCCTCTGTAATAAGGGTTGAGGTGCAGCCGTGTGAGAGCCCAACTGGCACGGTGTGACACCGCAACACTTTAGTTAGTATTTACGAGAATGTGATGAGGGCACTCACTAGCACACAAAACCTCGGATGATTTTATCTCAACGAAAACAAACGTGGCAGTGTTTCGACTGAGTCCGATAATTTCCACGACCGACTTTCTATTAAGCTCGGTATTGATCGAACAATTCTTTATGTCCTTGTTTAGCAAACATGAGGTGTTATTATATTTCCTTATTTACACACAACCTGACATTTCGGGGGATTTCGCCTACCTCAGAGCCTGGAAAGGTGAAGATGACCGCAATCTACCCAGACAAAGACCTCCATAACGAAATAGAGAAAACGGTAAACCAAGATTTCAATCACATTGAACACAGAATAGCTTCTTTGTACACTCTCCGCTTTTTCTGAGTCTTCCACTGAATATGTCACGTGGAGACTAACAGCACAGAGTTGGTGCGCAAAGTGGTAGCCAGAAAGCGGTGAGTGTGCAAAGAAGCAATGCTGTGTCAATTTGATTAAAATCATAGCTTAGCATATTCTCTGTTTGGTTATGAAGGTGTTTGGCTGGGTAGATTGCAGTCAACTTGACCTTTCCAGGCTCTGAGGAAGGCGACACCCGCCAAAACGTCAGCTTGTGCGTGAATAAAGAAATAAAATAACATCTCGTGTTTGCTGAACAAGAATATAAAGCACTGAATCTGATAATGTTTCTAAGCTGGACACTAAGACTCACGTACAGGAAACTAACGATGGCAGTGCGCGAAGTTGATAGTACAGTACTCAAATATCAACGCGCCTCTACATCTCAACAATTCTCATAACAGAAACATTCTCAGGATTAAGACAGTACGACGAAACACGAAGAAGAAGGACTGGTTAAGTTTAGATAATCAATGGAAGCAGAGAATGACAAGATAGATTGTGATAACACTTTCTTAGACAGAACTGTTTCAGTAAAACACACAGATTTAGTAATTCAAAAGGAACTGTCTATTCAGCTTGGCAATAAGGAAAAATGACGAATTAGTCGTTTGGGAAGACCAATACTAATCCGATGCTTATCTTGATTACTTACTCAGTACAAAAGAATGATCCCCTCTGAATCCTATAGCACTTAACAAGAACACAAAGTATTTAGATTAACGTCAAACATGGAAACTATCTAATTTCCTTAAAACGTATACGGATTACGTTCTAAAGAAAATATTAGGATTTTCAGTTACTAAAACTTGCTGATAACAAAGCCGACTGAAAAATGAAATGAATTAAATGAAACAGAAACTGAAATCCACCCTTGAAACTGAAAGGGATAAAGGTGAAACAGAAGAAGTAGCTAAGAGTGCTAATGGAGTTAGTACTTACAGTGGGAAAAATGCCTGCAACTGTTTAAGCGCTAAGAAACAACTCCGAAAATTGTCCTCGTTGTCGAATCGGCACTGAACACACAGCTGGACAGGTGTCGAGACCAGACCAGAGTTCAACATTACTACGCAGCACTGCAACAGACATCTGCCAAATGCGTTCAACTGACAGCCACCTAGCTCTGTGAGAAAGGATGTAGAAGAAAAGCGTAGTCGGCGGAAAACAGAAACGATGTGTAAATGAACTGATGGTCATCAGTTCATCAGTTCAAGCCATCAGTGTGAACAAAAAGAACTGCAGCCAGAGTAAAGTTTTACCAAGAGGTCGAAGAAGAATACGATCACATTGCTAACATCTTCAAATTGTTACAGAAGATTGAGAAATTGTCGGGCTGAAAGGAAGATCGAAGATGAACTCATTTCGGTCGTGAATTCGGCGCAATATTGAAACTAGACGATTGCATGAAGAGGACACAGAAGCAGAGTGGCGAAGTTGTAGTTCTGAAGACATCTGATAACTCCCGTATGGTTGATTGGGCTCCAGGAAATGATAGTAGTCCTGAATAGCAAGCCATCAATACTTACGTTAATCTCTAAGTGCAGATTCCTTCTGATCGTAACTCGGCTAGCAGGAAAGAAAAAGCCCTTGGACACTGTACAATTACGTGCTCGTAACACTTCTGAGTTGAAACAATGAACGTCTCTCTTGTTTTGGAACGAAAACTTCATAAATAATTGTTCACCGTGTTGCAATAAAAGTAAATTCTGTGCTCGTTTCCCGCACCAGTTCAGGTTTTTTTTCAAGAGGGGTCGCATCGGGCAAAATTTGTTTGGTTTTCAGCGTGGTTGACGGCTGAAAAAACGCACCAGATCGTATAAACGTACACAAACAGAGCTGAATGGAGAAAAAAAAACCACTGACGACCAGTGCGTGTCGGGTTCACAGCGATCTAACTGCTCCATTGAAGTGTCAAAAGCAAGCATTTTGTCGGAATAGGAGAACAATGAGAACCATGCTGTCTAAAAAGACTGAAGAAGACTAGATCAAACGAATAAGGGGAAAGCAGCATAAACGAAAAGCTACGGCTTTAAATAGAGTTTTCACTGCGACTGATCTGGACTCACTGAAGAAATGCCAATGGAAAGCGGCTCTTCCACATAAAAACCCGAAAATGGTGACATTAAACAGCTTATTGTAAGCGATCTGATAAGTTTGAAGAGGCCTTTGAAAACCGATCCTTACTTAACCTTGGTGTAGATAATCAACAGTATTTTGTTCTATTCATGAACTTACACGAGCTTAAGATTCTAGAGGTTTCAAGGTAACGATATCTAGCTGGAAATGATGAAACGAGTAATGCTGACGTCCTAGTTGCCGATAATAACGAGCATAATAATTAAGGTCGTTGAAAGCTTAATTGCATATGGATATGTGAAACCAATAGTACCTGTCGCTGATGATAAGCCTTCCCCACCCCTCCACCGTTAATGAAACGATGCGATCATGAAACATTCACGGTTTCAAAATTTCTCCAACCAAAACTTTTGATTTCAACAGTCTCACTACGAGCTGTCCTACTAACACGAAGAACACCAATAGTATTCCTTGCACAAAAACTCATTTGTCACTTCCTTTAGTCATTTTATGCTTCTCTATTCTTCAACTTTGTCACGAAACTGAATATCAACCAGGAACTGCACCGTCTCCGACAACTAACTTTCGTCTACCCCGAAGGACTCAGTTCTTTTCTACGATAACGCTTAACTATACGTCGCACAAACATTGTTGTAAAAGTTGGAAGAGCTGGGATGCACAGGCCCGCCTCACCCGCAGTACCTATAGGAACTTTGGCCAATTGACTCCTATTTCCTCGAGCACCTTGACACCTACTTGCTGAGAAAGTCGTGAAGACCATGTCGTTCACGAAAAAGCACTCGGTAGCACTCGGTAGTTAATGGTAACAATAACAAATAAATAACAGACAAGTAATAGTCAACTATAATAGTAGTAGTAGCCATGATAACAATAAAAGGAAAAGACAAGAAAGATAATGTGAGAAACTCAGCGAATGGGCCTCCGTAGCGCAGTATGTAATGCGTGAGCCCCCGGAAAGGGCAATCATGGTTCGATCTTGCCCGTGGTGCAAGTTTTGCGAAAATCTCAACACCGATGTGGTTGTAATGATAACAATAATTATAAATAATGAAATAATATTAGTAATGGCAGCGAAATGGTATTGACATTACAAGAAGAGAGCAAAGATTTAGTTGAAAGAATAAAAATATCGTGAGAAAAGTTCAAAACGAAGAGCTGAACAACCTCTGGCCTGAAATCAATTCAAATTTATGAACTATGGACGAATTTGGACAGTAACAAGTTTGACACAATCCCGATTTCTTTTAGATGAAGCGAACTCGGGATAAAAAGAGGATATGGATGGACATACAAAAGAATGAGTAGTAAACAATTTGATGAAGATCTATAACTTCAGCATTAGTTCTCAAAGATTCCAGAGAGAATGAACTAAGGAATTGCACTCTATCCTTATGACAAGAATATCTATTGCTTCAGCTCAATACTGGCCATTACGACGTTTTCGTGTTACCGTATGACTCCTAAAACTCGCAGACCTTCACTGCTACTACAAATGAAGTGTGTTCCCAAATTTGGTCGTATCATTGTGAAACGAACGAAAATGTTGAAGAGGCATGGGAAAGTGAAAACGACGAGTAAACCACGTCCGGTTAGTGCTGATTTTTTGCGAATCAATGACTGTTGGAAGGAAAACGGTGAGCGCGACGGCACGCGGCATTCCGTCGACGGACGAGTCGCGCCGGACGATAAGGCGAAGGTTTCCGCGGCTCTCGTCGTCTGACGCAACGGCTAATTCCCACGCGTCACCACCCGTGATCGACCGCGGCTCGAAACCGTCCATTCCCCTCGGGATTTCTAATTTCGATAAATACGAAGAGTTCTATGTGCGAACAGTTGGCGTCAAGCGTTCTCAAAGATTACTTCGACTGGAACTTGTTGCGGTTTCTGAACAATAGGCAGTTAAACAGAACTGAATGTTCACCTTTCTCAACATGGCATGGATCAAAAACTTTGTCGCAAATGTTGCACTGACGATTACTGTCTCCTAAACTGATTCCAGTTTGTTAATTAAATGGTTAAATTTGCTTGAATTTGCTTTTGCAAATTATTTCGTTTACCTTATCAAGAGAATTCCTCCCAATGGTTTATCGTCTCATTGTGGCTGGAAGGTATTCCTGGACGTCGGGCTGCGATGTACAGTGGGGAGATGCACCACCAGGGTCTTCCAGACTGAGAAAGAGTTCGGCGTTTCCATCATGATACCCTGTTAAGAGTAAACCAATACTAGGATTCAGCACAGTCCTCGTATCGAATTAGTCGCATGGTGGAAAATCTGCATGGTAATTTTTGAAACTACTTCAAGACAGCGACCTGTGGTAGATACATATGCAAATGCATAAAGAATAAAGGATAAGGAAAAGGACAATTCTCTATTTACTTAACAAACACATTCTACAAGCCCTCAGAGACTGCATTTACCACAACGTCCGCGTCCGTGCCCTACATTCACATCCCATCTTAATCATCGGGCACGCCACAAGACACGGCATGTCGTAGCCATCAGGTACGGGCGCAAGCGTGGCAAATTCAATCTCTAAGGACTTATAGAATGTGTTTGTTAGGTAGATAGAGAATTCTCTATTTTATAGCGGAATTCTCTATATTAGGTGCTCAACATTGATCAATCCCTGAGAAATTTGCCATGCTTTCGACTTGGTCAAGCATCGTTAGAGGTGGTTAATGGAAGGAAGAAATGAACTAGCCTATACAATGACTCGCGGTGACCTGCCGATATATCAACTCAGTGCTATTCTCCCATACATCTCCGACACCAATTTACCGATCCCGAAATAATGGAACTCTTGGCGTGTCCGAAGCGCAGAAGCGACCCAAAGACCAAAGGTGTATTGCAAGGCACCTCTAGTCATTATGCTACGCACGCCCGCAAATGCAAAATTCACAGAAATCGATCGCCAACACTTGAAGCGTGTTCTGCAGGGATCGGAATTTCTGTACTAAGGAATGGTACTGGATCCACGATTCTAAACTTCTGTTTGCATCTTCGAGGAGTTAAAGATCAGTGAATAGAGAAGGCTGAAAGAGTACGTAGGGAAAAATATGTTTCATATTGACCATTGAAATTTTCGAGATGCCTCGTCATAGTTGTGTTATTTTCGAAATGTAAAAGTTATGGCAGTTTCTAAACTACAACCCAACATCCTAAGATTTACAAAAATCACAACCACTTTAGCCGCCAAATTAATATGAATTTCCCAAGGTAGAGAGATTTTTGGCACACAACGACAGTGCCAACAGTTCCTACCTGATGAACAAGTCCGGGCATTATTCTATGCAAAAGTAACCAGTAATTTGACGGTAATCGAAGCGCAAAGAAGGGGACGATCTGGTTGGTTTGAAGTGGAAGAAATCATCGAGAAAGGATAACTGATTAGAAGCGGGTAAAATCTGTGACTATTTGCGTATAGGAGAAACCGCACTGCATTGTACGACATAGCCTCCTTTCTAAACACTTCTACAAAGGGGAAAAAATCACCTTGGCTTCCTATCAGTGTAAACAGATAAGTGATAAGTGGATAAACTAAGTTCAAATTAAAGAAAAGATACCGTAATGATCCACAAATTTGCTTAATACAAGTCCTATTTGTTATCGAACATTGCGTAAACTACACTTTCGTGAGTGTTCAGTACATTTTTGAGGCAAACACAACTTGGGAACACTGTGCTACTGCTCAAGTACATGAATTAACATCCACTTCAAGAGGACACAACGGTCACAACACATTTGTGCATTTTACGAATTGTTACGAAGCATTGCTGTGGTATCGCTGGTGGCTATCAACCAGTTATTTCGGTAGCTGCAAGAAATATCCGATAGGTTTTCTCCTTCGCAGTGTTGCAACCAATGAGCTTGTCCTTATTCAACACAGAGGCGTGCGAAAACGCCATTAATCAGGTCTGAGTGCACTTACACCCATGCTGGACAGAGGTTTGCTAAGACCTAGTACGGACGAGGACCTACTATTAGATTCTAAATACTATCTATCACGGTCAGAGGAGGGAGATACAATTTGAAGTGGAAAGTCGATGAAGTTGAGGCAGAGTGATAATATCAAAACATCTCTCCTTCGTCCTTTTTTTTCAATTTTACCTCTTCATCTTCTATTTGCACCGTATACAGAAACAGAGCAACTTCCACTTGACTTAAATTTGATGGTTGAGCGAAATTTTTTTCCCTATTCGAAGCCGTGCTCTGGCCTTCCCAGGTCGCGACCAATTTCCGGTCAATAAATAATGGAAGCATTAGGACTCGGCAGTAGTTTACCCTTAGCCGGTCTTTTGGATAGAAACGTCAGACTTTTAAACTTGAAAAGCTCTGCTAGTAGATAAAATCCTATACTAATCGCTGTTCAACAGCCACGAACACCCACATCTGAAACTATCGATAAGACATGCAGTAATAAGGAACTCAAATAAAAAAAATTAATAGAAGTGAGTAGGAAAGGAAAGCATACAAATTTATGAAAACAGTTGATTACAGCATTTTCACAACAGGTTTCATCCCAAACAGGTCCTTACAACTGCCAATCTCAAACCATAACTTGAAACACAATGTCGTCACTTTTTATTTCCTGCCCATTATGGTCATAATTTTAATGCTAAAAATTTATGCTAATAATAGAGGTCACCAAAAATATGTTTTCTCGTCCATATGTTGCAGTAATTTCCTATTTCTTTCGAAAGTCCTTAGAAAAGACGTACGGATACACATAGTGGTGTATTGTTTTGAACAGGTAATTCCGGTAACTAACTCATCTAGAAGTAAGGATTCCAAAAAATTCTATAAGTGATGAAGTGCAGTTGAGACGACAAAATTCATATCAGTGTTTTGGCCTGGCTGAAGTGGTAAACTCTCAGTTTGTTTTCAATGGGAAGAAAACACAGCGTTTGATACGAAGTGGGTGAAATCCCACTGAAGGCGATGTGTCCATGAACGGGCTGATTATTCCTGGCGCATGTGTTGCAGCGCTGAAACGTTCTTTGGATGTGGCTGGAGTGCCAGAAGCATTCGCAGGTTATTTGCTTACTATTCGTTATCATTCGCTGTCATTCGCTTATACAGTAATATTAGAGAGTTAAACAGTGCTCAGCAAAAATAGCCATCTAAAATGTCCAAAGAGTCCAAGATATGTTACCAGAGATAAGCAGCGACGAAACAAAATAGGACCGACAAAAGAACAATAACTGTCAAATATGTCATACTTCCACCGTGGACATGGTACGTGTAAAAGCAATACTCTGTAAGAGAAGAAACTATCAGCAGTTTTAGCCTAAGCATCGGTTACCAGTTGACAACTAGAAGTTGTACAAAGAAGTATGAAATCACACCAATGAACTAGAAGGTGAAGTGTAACGAACAAGACATATAAACACTGTGATACCCGAAAAAAACTAACACTAGTTTTCTTGTTCAGCAATCGCGAGGTTTTTAAACAGCATACATTTACTTCCATAGAGATTCACAATACAATACAACACTAGCTGACGTTTCGGCAGTATCGCCTTCTTCAGAGCCGCTTTTTTGTGACTTCCAATGAGGAAGTTTAGAACAGCTGATTATAGTCGCATGTGGTTGACGACTGCACCATCCCCTCAGAGCAATGACTTAAGTCACGAAAAAAGCGGTGTGTTTCGAGAAGCTGTTAATCATGTAATTGCCATTGAGTTTTTCGTCTTTTTGTAAGTGTTATCGAAGCCTTTGGCTTAGTAGATTGTATATCAGTATACCCTTCCAGGCTCTGAAGAAGGCGATACTGCCGAAACGTCAGCTAGTGTTGTATTGTATTGTGAATCTCTATGGAAGTAAATGTATGCTGTTTAAAAACCTTGCGATTGCTGAACAAGAAAACGACACATTCATATTCAAATGCCGAGGTTAAGAGAAAGTCGATCCTGGGAACTAACACTAGTTTCCGCTCTTCAACTCTATTTACGGAATGCTAACAAAATCCGAGCAAGGAAAGTTGAAGCGCTCTAGCTTTTTCAGCAAAGCCGAATACAGATAATGTAGGGAACTCCCGCAAGAATCAAACATTTCTCAGAACTTTCTTAAAGTTATAGAAAGGTAAAAGCTACCACAATTGTCATCATAAGTTATGCCTTTTAGTAGTGAAAAATAAAAATATCAGATAAAAAAGCTCATTCTCTTCACGCATTTCTAAAGATGAAAAACTAAATATAACTCCAAAAATAGCACGGTTATCAGCCCTACTAAATAAATATCCCTTATACTAGTGCATGAAGGTATTTCCAACAGCGGTTTAGTTGTTGAAGACTATTCTTTGAAGGTAGCTGTCAAAGTGCTCGAAAAAGCGCTTCATTCTTCGATGAGAGGTCCGATAAGTCTGGTGGTGTGATAGAACGTTGTAGCACAATTCGGCCATAAATTAGTAGTCAAACGCCGTCGAACAACAGCGTTCCTGTTTACTAACACTAAGTAGGCATATCACTATTTATGAGCACTTCCGTCTACCTGTAGTCGCTTCGCCAGGGCTGAGTATGTTACGGTGGATTAGTCCAGCTGTGAATCACCGTATGGTCACAATAGTCTATTTTTAGCATGGGTTCTGTTTTGGGAAGTTTTTAGGAGCTTCCAACCACCGGAGTGAGCGCCGCTCAGTTCTTGTATATGATTTGTTTCTCATTGGAAGTCACAACACGTTCAGAAATGGATAGGTTTTGCCACGTAAAAGAATCCTGGAAAAGACCTTATAACGACGAGCTTTACGCTCTTCCGTCGCTTTGTTGGCACCTATTTATCTAGCTCTTTCACCATTTCACTGTTATTGAAATGATAATTAATTACTTGTTGGTTAAAATTGAGCATTATGCAACATCTCGACGAGTTTTTAGAGGGTTGGGTTCGATTACTGCCTTCAAGTTGCTGTTCTCGACTGTTGACGAATCGTCACAACGTTCTTCGTTCTCAAAACTTATATCTTTCGTACGAAACCTTTCGGATTATCTAAGCACTTGTCGGAAACATCTCCCCGGCCCGTGTGAGGACCTTTACACTTCGGTGGCATGCCCCATCCTAAACCATGAGGCAAAACAGTACCAATTTCTCGTATTTACAGCATCCTTTCGACCAATTTAAAAACACTCTTTCTGGCAAACTTAATTGTAATTTTAATTACTTCAACTATTGCTATTAATCACCGTCAGATGAGTTATTACACAGCAAACAATTAAACGAAAAAAAGAGCTTTAAAGCGGTATAGAATAACAAACTGAGAGATAACAGGATCAGTCCCGTTGACGGGTGATTGCTGATAGCGCCTAATAAAACACGGCTGAGTGAGGGACGAAACGAACAACACCTACGGCGTGGTGGTGAACACGTTAACCCTCGGGAAAGGTAATAACAAAGTTCTATCCCGCCTCAGAGACCTGCGCTCTGGGGCTTTGCAAATATCTCAGCATTATTGTAGTTGTATTTCACATCATGCCCTGCCATGGAAAAAGAATAGGCGGTAAATAAAAAGTGATTACATTGAGAGAGAGAGAGAGAACTATTTACCAACAAATGTGTTCAAAACCCTTAATGACAAATCGCGCCACTATTTCCGAACCAGTCCAAAATACAGCGTGTCCCACAAGAGATATCCACTGTCAGGAAAGCTGTTTTTTAAAAGATGAACTTTATATGTCACACAAGGAATCTGACCATCCAGTAGGGTACATTTGCAAACGCTACGTTACGCCCCTAAAAATAGATCCTAAATTACGAAAAAACGAAGGCGGAGGAGCTCCGACTTCAATGACAAATGTTTTAGTTAAACCTTAACAGAATTACGAAGGAAAAAACTGTGCTCTGACTTTTTGCGCTCTTACACTCCCAGCTGGCACACTCACAGCACAGAGCGCCGCCGGCCACAACCGGACCGCACGGACTGCGAGCCGAAAAAAATTGGTCTGAGCAGAGCGGAGCGCAGAAAAAAAACCACGGAGAACGTCGGATCGATCTCTGTTCGAAGGGGGCGCAGAAATGACGACGTCCGGCGACGAAGTGCGCAAGGGTGGCGCGGAAAGCGTGGCCACTGGCGAGTGCGCTGCATGGCGGACGACGAGAAAGTGCGGCATTCGCGGATGCGCAGGCGATGAGAGCGCAAACAGAAACATCGGCGCGACATTTCGGCACACGCACGCGCGCACCACACACATTGAAACAAGCGACACGCACACCAGCGATGACGACGAGGAGCAGCGCAGGGGGGGGGGGGGGGGGGGGGGGGGGGGGGACCGAACAGGACCGGACAGTACGGCGTCGGAAACGTGGAGGAGAGGCGGATGGGACAGGATGGAATGGAACGCATTAGAGGTTGCAGATGAAGACCGAAAGCGTGCAGGTAACGGGAGAAGGGGCGGAAAGCCGACAATGTCCGTATTGAGAGGAGGAGTACAAGGAGAACGATGAGATGGTTTAGCGAGCAAGAAAGAGAAAGGTTTCGGGAAATGTGTAACGAATTGCAAACACTGGAAATGGTGAACAAATAAGACGTTGAAGATGGGAACAAGGTGACGAATTAGGTAGACGGATGGATTGATTGGGTGATCGATGAATAAGATGAAACTCTTTGAGGGAGAAGAATTCGCCAATATTAAGCAAAATGAGGAAGAAAAGAAAAAAGTTGAGAAAAGGAGGTTCTGATCTTACCGTCTTTTAAAAATGGTAAAAAAGAATCTTTTTAAACGACTCGCCTTTCACATCCACTCTGCGGTTTCTGGCACATCCCATATTCGATTCCTTTCCTCGTATCCATCACCCACTAAGGTCTTCCAACTTTTCGGTGTTGTTTTCGGCTGCAGCTTGGGCATTGACCTTTCATCTTGAATGTCGTTGAATGCTGGTAGAGTCGATTCTCTCTGGAGTCCTGAGATAGCCAGGCTAGAGCGCTCCCACTTGGGTTGCAGGGAGTGTTTTCTTCCCGGACACGTCCGGCACCGATTTAGCTACTCCAGAGGGATGAGAAGCTTCGCAAATCCAAAGCGAGATCGAACCAGAGCCGTGCTCGTGACGATCGGCACCACTACCACTGTACTATCCGCCCATCTTCATAAGTAGTCAGTATTGATGAAAATTCTGAACAATCGGTATAAATGAATGAAAGATATGGCTAAGAGTTTCAAAAATTTCTGCACTCCAGAAAAAGGTGCAGAATTTAAATGTTTAGCCAATGGGTGGTGGCCAACGTTGTTAGGAAGAAATATTAAATTGAACGGCAAAAAAGAGCCTTCCCCTCAACCATTTTTACTCTGACAGTGCTATCTGAAATAACCCATCAACGGGCACCATGCTATGAAGAATTAATTGACAGTAAATAAAAGGCAAAACATTGTGATTTCGACTACAGCTTCAGCTTAACTGGATTCAACACGGATTTTGCTTTCCACATCATTCCCGTTTATGAGTGATTGCTGATGGTACCTTAGAGTAGAAAAATGGCTGAGAGAAAGGCAGAGCGAGAGCATCGTTTGGTGTGGTGTATAGCACGTAAGCACCCGGATAGGGTTGTCCCTGGGTAGATGCTGACCCTGAATACCGATCTTTTCAAATAACTCATCTTCCTTGTCCGTGTATTTAACATAACATTCTTCCATGAAAAAAGAATGGACAATAAATAGAAGATAAGACAGTGAATGAAGAACGAAGAAGATCTTAAATTTTTGAAATACTTTGCAACCACATTCCTGAAAAAAATCGCATTTGTAGTGTGCCGTAGAACCGAGTTTCAGCGACGAGAGTTTTGCCCTCACAAGCCTTTACTGCTGAATTCTGCTACTTCTAATTTACGCAAAGAGTTCCCGTTTGGGTTTAATTTACATGAGAAGACGTCAGTCCTTCACAGTCAGGGGAAAGAGTTCATTGTCTTCGTGCATCTGAACGGTTTTTTTTCAATATATTTTTGCACAGATTTCTTAGTGCATTTCAATAGAAATGGATGATTATAACTAAAATCATATAAGGGCTTAGGACATCCGATAGTAAGCGTTGCTCATCTCAACGACCAAGTGCTTCCTAGCTAGTAGAGTAGATGTCCTTCACTGCGGTGTTCCATAAGCAGTCGGAACAGCTCAGAGGCCAGACAAGAAACATCTTCGACTCAATTCCTCTTTCAAAAGACGACGTCGTTTTATTACGACTTTGCCCATGATGTATTGCAGATATCGTCCGATCTTTCATTCTGAATATTCAGCACGATTCTTCAAAATGGTACTTACGCTTATCGTAGGGACTTACGGGATTTCAAAAGAGGAGCAGGCAGACAGTTATGAACCCCTTACAGATGCCAAAAAGCTTCGTACTGTTCATCTTTTGGCCTCATCTAACAAGCATTTCTTTAGTATGTATTGAAGCGAACATTATTCATTCACCTTGTTGTTAGGAACATTCTACATATAAATAAATATTTGCTGTTCCCAATTAGGATTGGGGCGTTCCAGAGTGAACCTAGAAACTATGGCGAGGTACCGTCATATTCTAAAAATCACTATCTATCGCGAGCGACTGCGACGGCTTACGAAATCACCAATGGATAAATGATACAGTCCCTTTAAAATATTCTTGACGTGTGACTTCTGAAGTAGTCATAGTATGACACGGCGGCCGGTGTGATGTCAATAGAAGACAGTTTCTTCCTGGTCAATTATTTTGGTGCAGTTTTTTTTCGGACACTCCTTGTAATCAGTTGTTATCTTATCTAATGCAGACTTTAAACCGCAGCTTATCCAGGGGTAAGTGTACTCTTAATAGGTTCTCACTTGATGATTAAAAAAAATTCTTTTGACTTCTCCACACGTTCACCATACAGGTCTGTGTGAATATATGGAAGAAGAGGTGCGTGTACCTAAACTAGGAAGAACAAATTCGTATGTATCCAAACCATGAGAAAGAAAATTTGACGTACCACTTGCTTGTTCTCCTTACAAACGGGGAATAGGAACACCATCTGCTCGTTTGCATCTACAGACACCTCGCTTTAAAAAGTGGTAATGGAAAAAAGCAAAGTAAACTATGTAGATGGAAAATTACTCGCATTAACAATCACGGAGAAACATATCGTCCGAAACAGAGTGGCGGACGAGAATGTCCTCGATGCACTGGAGGATCTCGAAAATCACTTGGACCAGGAGACACTCGAGTTTGTCGTCTTGAGTTCGTCGTCCACTCGAAGGATAGGGAGCTAGATGAGGCAAAGAAGATGGTCCGGAGAGCATTAAACTGAAGCAAAAATGCCTACCACACCTAAATTAGGGCGCATGTCAAACTAAACAGTTTATAAACTTCTCAATGCGTGCCGGCGATAGCTTACCTAACGCCAGTTAATGGATGTGGAGGAGGGCTGTTTCCAGGCGTCGATACCTTAGCCTCTGCAACAATATGATGAGCTTCTTTGAAGACATTTACCGTCCACGACATTTCCTCTCACTTCTATGCTTTCAAATAAAATTCTTCTATCGGCAACTCCTAAATAACAAAGAATAAAGCCCTCAGCTTTGATCAGTCACTGAAAGATAGGTCATGCATTCGACTTCATTAAGCGTAGTTGGAGGTGATTGAATGCATATCTAGCCTTTGCAATGACTCGTGATAGCGTACCGATGTGTCGAGCCAGTGCTGGTATCCTCGCGGACAAATATGGCACCAATTTGCCGACCTCAGAGGAATGGAGGGTTTGGTGAGTCTTGAGCGCAGGGGTCGATCACACGTGTATTGCAAAGCGCCGCCGACCACTGCGCTACACGCGCCAGCTATCAAATAATGCTTGGAAGAAGTTTCCAGCAAAGTTGCGAAATATCAAAGGAATTTGTTGCAAATTCACAATGATTTTCACCGATCTTGAATGCATACTACAGGAAGAAATAGTTCAACGTTTCAAATTTTAACCATAATCAAATGAAGCGAAAAGCATTAGAATCTAGCATTAGAAGCATTAGAATGAGAAATGGCTTACCTAACTGCTCATTTGACTTCCATGTTGTGCATCTGTTGAAGTCTCTTTAACTTCGACTTGTTTATAAAACAATGAACAAGTGGCACAAACATAAATCTAGATGAATACGACATAATATCTGCGACATGGTACCTATAAATATATATGATATAATATAGATAAAGTTTCTTGTTTCAAGTTTCTTAATATTCTTTTTTCCATCATAAAACCCTAATATTCCTGATGTTTCAAGTTTCTCAATATGCTTAGCAGTGATGGATTGAATTACTGGACTTTCAAGTATTTAGGATAAAACGTTTGGAGTTCATCAGTCCGAGAGATCCGGGTTTACAGAGATCATAATACATACTATACAACATAGCGTGCTAGTTCGATTCCGCTCCGGGCTAACCAAGCCTCTCATTCCTCCGGGGTGGGGTAATTAGTACCCGACTTCTCTTAGAAAAATCAATCTCTGCAATTCAATTGGGAACGCTCCAGCCGGGCTATCTCAGGACTCCAGGGAGAATTGCTTGACCAGCATTCTACGACGTTCGAGATGAAATGAAATTCCTCAAGCAGCAAAAGCCACACGTAAAAACTTGAAAGATCTCGGACGATCGATGTGAGAAAACGGATCGGATGTGAGAAGTGCTGGGATCCGCACAGTAGGCGTGAAGACAGATCAAATAAAATAAAATAAAATAAAAAATAAAACATAACCAGCAAGCAGTGCGTCACTTGTTTACATTAATAGTATGCATATATATCCATGTACAAATATAAAAGGCTAAAGGCGCGTGTAGCGCAGTGGTGGGGAGCGCCCTGCGATACACATAGAATAGATTCCCGCGCTCATGGGCTAACAAGCCTTCCATCCCTCCAAGGTCGGCAAATTGTTACCAAACTTGTCTGGAAGGATAGCAGCACTGGCTCGAAACATCGGTAGGCCACCGCGAGTCGTTGTAAAGGCCAGATATGCAGTGAATCCCCTCCAAACGATGCTTAATGAATTTGAATTCATGGCGCATCACTAGAGCTTTATCCTTTATCATTCATTGTTGTAAACGAGTAATGTACTGCTTGCTAGTTCTCCTCCACATGAGGGTTGGATGCCATTTAACCCTTTGTATCCACAAACAATTTCGCTAGCAGTGGCGACGTGGCTCGCAAGTACATCTAAAATGTTCTCCATTAAGTCACACAGCAAGAACCAACAAGCCTATAGCAAATCTCCTTAATTTGCAAAACCAAGAGATGCTACAACCTTTGCCGTCTCTGTGGGAAATCATAGTTAGCGTAAGAAACGATTGAGTATTAAGTAACATTAGTTCGCATAACAAATCACTAGTATCGACTTAGCTTTATGGTTTAAACGTACTGCAAAAAATGAGATCCGTTACTGTTGTTGAGATCTAGGAAAACATTTTTGGGATCCATTTGACGTTATCAAACCGCGTTCATTTATTCGTAAAAGTAAATAATTAGCATATTTGGCATAGAGCAGGTTATTCATACCAACAACAAATTCGTGCTTACACCATCCAATTCACAAAAGCCGGTGGCGCTGAAGTCAGGCTAACTAAGTTTGACAAGCCGGTTATGTCAGCCATAACACCTTTCTCAAATCTATGAAGTATAAGCGTAATGCGAGTTCACTAGGTCTAACATTCGGTCATTACCATGAGACGATGCGTCATGGTCCCAGCTGAGCTAGGTTCGCTAATAATAGAAAAATTGTACAAAGTTACCGATGGACAGGCGTCACAAGTTGTGTTCAGCACAATTTTTCACAGGTAACCCGTTGTTGTTGCATTTTCAGTCGCTACAATGATTCATGGATATTGTATGGATTGAGAGGATATAAAAACCACAAAGTAAACATTATAAAATCCTTTGCACAACTTAAGCAGCTCCATTAAATGCTGGCAGCAGCATGATTAGATGATGGAACGAGAGGTTTTTTTGTGGCAAATGGGAGTTGTACCACCTGTATCACCTGTAGCCGCGTTGATCGTCGAGTGACTCGAGCGGGCGCCAGTAAATCTTCCATTTTTTCCTGTCGCGTGCAAGAGTAGCCCAGTGGGTTCTGCTCGCTCTAGGGACTCGTCGAGCATCATTTCTTTCTTCTAGGCTCTTCGTGAAGAACTCTGATCATCGAGTCGGTGGTCTTCCTGCAGTATGTTTGATATCGCAGAGAATCCAGTCACTAACGGCTCTTGTCCATCGGTTGTCATTTGTCATGACAGGAGTTGTATAGACACCAGAAAACGTGGGAATGTGTATAAAAGAACCTAGAGTGTGTACACGACAAGAGCAATGCATTGATTCTTCATAAAAAAGACCACAATGAAAGGGCGAGGCTTCAAATTGCGGAACGTTGTAGCCGCTGGACCTTCATAGGTGTCATGGAGATTGGGCCAAGCTACACCCCACTGAAAAACAGTACCCAATGGAAGGACAAATGGAGAGTTGGTTAGAACCTGCACGATCTATAGTTTTTAGTAGACTGAATATCCCAGCAACATGTACTACGAAGTGTTCTCAGAGAACTGTTGTTAGAATGGTAAGTATATGTTTAAGTTCTGTGGAACACTATGTGAAGACAACGACTGTGTAACTGAAGCTACGAGATACTTGTCCAGACATTCTTTCAGCTTTGATTGTAGAGCACGCCATAACAAATCTAGATTAGTGGAAGTAACGCTTAGAGCCGCTCTACAATACCATTCCGATTTTCCCAAAGGGATGTACGAGAGGATAAGGCCGACGAAAGGTTAGCACCGTATCGAAGAACGTGTAGTGGTGGGAAGTAGTTTTTCTTAACATTTCGGCTCCTATAACACAATATCATACTGAATTTTTATTGCAAAACTCTTCCTTCACTAACAGACAGAAGTCATGCTCACGGAGGAACAAAAACGAAACCAAAAGAACAGAAGAACAAAAAAAAAGTTCACTTAGAAGAGTAACAGTAGAAGAGCTGCAGAACATGTCGGCTTCCACATGTAGACACAAAGATCATTTAGCAGAGTGTAAGATCGACATGACATGAGATTTGAGACGTGATAACAACAGCTTACATAGAACATACAAATTGATTGCACGATGAGCAATGTCTGCCAATCTAGCAAGCTCCATATCGCTACACATTAGCTCCATGCTCATGTTTTCCAACATGCGCATCGCTTGGACGTACACTGCTCCAAGTTCCGAAACAGAATGACCGTTCTCTCCTGATTGTTTGGATCCCTTCAACGAGCGATTCACCGTACTGTTCAACGACAGTGAACCCGAATTGGCGACTTTTGGTGGAAGTTGAAATTTCTGAGTGCCACCACTTGGTGCTAGTACCGTTCTGGAATTCAACGACTACAAGAAAAATTTTAGGTAACTACAGTGAGACCTAACCTGCGGCCAGTTCCAGCATCAGTTACAACACCTTTCATCCTCGTATATCTGGGAAACAACAGTTCCATTTGTTGATCCATTGCAAGCTCAAAGACTTCGATTTGTTTCAACGCTGCCTCCTAAAGTGAATCTTACATAGTGGAGGAAAATCTGTTAAAAAAAGTGAAAGAAAGAGGTGAACAGATAAACTTCCATTCTTGATCATAATACTCACCAGTTGCAACTTCACGGTGGATTTACCAAAAATCAGCACCATAATTGTGAACTATTCAAAGTTGGCAATAAACCTGGGAAAAAATTCGTGTAAATAACATAGTTGATGGCGTAGTATCTACAAACGCCGCAGGGTCAAACTCGGGTCAATTTAGAGGAAAAACTTTGTAAAAATTAATCGCAGATTTCGACGGAGTGCAGGTCTAATGGATGCTGAACAAGCTAAGAAAATGGCACATGGGGGGTTTTATATATTTAAGGCATATTAAAACACGTTGAAAGATAAGATGGCCTTTGTAGAGTCTTCTAAAGCAAACTTCCTTGCACTGGACCCGTCTAAACACGAGTATACAAGACTCGGTGCTACTGACTTCTCCTAGCACGTACTGCATTGTTGTATCGCTCGTTACCTACGTTTCTTACCACCCTTGGACAGCCTGCAGTCAGGTAGCTTTCGTTCGAACAGAAATAATCAACTATGCAAAAGATTTAGCATCACAAACACTCCGAACTTCTCAATTCTAGAAATACTGCTCACAGCCTTCCGAGTGACACAAGTTTGCTTCTCTACGAAGTACGACTTGAAGCTATGTGTGCTAGTCTTATTTCAGAAAATAGTCCGTCAGACAGTGAGTTGCTCTTACTGCGCATCGGTCGCTGCTCTACATGAATCATAATATAGAATAATTTGAACAATTCCTAACTTACACTGAACACCATAGGCTGTGAGTGGTTAAAGTGATCATTGAACTAAGCATTTCAATTTATTCCAGAGATGAACGACTTCAGCAACGTGTTGGAACCTTTTGTAATTCTCTTCAAACATTGATGACAAAAAGGTTAGAGAACAAAGAGCTGAAGTACAATGGTCTACCCGGAACATAAGAAAAGTATGTAAAAAAAAAGTGCTGGTTGAGGAGTGATATGCGCGCTGCCCTTACAATTCGGGGTTTGTGAAGATGTCACATTTCGTCCAAACCTGAAAGTTGGGTAGTTCAATTTACATGTCGAAACAAATACATAAAAATGGACCAATAAGTACATGGAAGGAATACATGAGGACAACCTAAATGTTACCAACAATGTCAATTGGAGAGGTTGTCTTCTGCGATGGATTAACCGGTGTAATCAGAAATAATGTACGATGGAGATCCTAACATGCATGGAACAACAGCGGCGCACCAGTGACAGCACAAACAGCCGAGGACAGCTGAGTTTAGGGTTGATCCGAACTGCTTATATACTGTTTTTGGAGTAGGCGGAGCCTGTTTCGTCTTCAAATCCGATATCGATCGGACCAAAAGTGAACGGAGGCGCAGAGCTAGGAACGAGAGAATGGTGGGTAGAGTGCGAGGCGCCAGGGGCACAATCACGGCCAATCGATACGTACCGTAGCCTTGTATAATTCAAATCGAATGAGACGACATCAGTATAAAAGATTATCGGACAGTATGAATGGATCCGATATGAAGTATTGAAAGATAAGTAGGAATAAATCTAAGGTCGCGCGTAACGCAGTAGTTGGGATCGCCCTGCTATATGCGCATGGTTGTTGGTTCGATCGTGCCTCCCAAGCTCACCAATGGTTCCATCTCTTCGAGATTGGGAAAGTCGTACCAGACTTGTCTAGGACGATTACAGCACTGATTTGATATATCGATAGGTCATCAGAACTGGTTGTATTAGCTAGCTATTATATAGCTGCTTACTTTGTGTAGAATTTTATAGGCATTACAATCTTTTGTGAGATAGTGTAAAATGTTTCTTCGTGTAATGTTACACCTCTGCTTGGAATAATCGCACAGTTCTCCACAAATATTGTTATATCATAATTGTAAATTATATTACAAGGGTCAGATAGCACAGTGGTAGTGATGTCGGTCATCACGAGCATGGTGTTAGTTCGATTCCACCCGAGGTCCGCCAAGCCTCTCATCCCCCCGAGGTCGAGAAATTGGTACCGGACTTGTCCGGTAAAAAATCACTAGCTGCAATCCAATTGGGAACGCTTCGGCCCGGTTATCTCAGGATTCCAGGGAGAACCGAGTCGACTAACATTCTTACGACATCGAAGATGAAATGAAAATCCCCAAGTGGTATCTGAAGCTACACTTAAGTTGGAGCATCTTCGTGGACAATATATGCAAGGAAACGAATCGAATGTGAGAAGTGCTGGGATCCGAGTAGTAGACGTTAAGACGGGTAATATAAAATAAAAATAAAAAAGTATGTAATACACAAATGTATCACACAAACGCCGGTCAATGCGCTGTCAGCATTTAATGGACTTACGTGAGTTGTACAAAAAATAATACGATGTTCAATTTGCGGTTTTGATATCCTCTCATTCCATACAATACTAAGGATTCATCATCGAGATTGAAAATGGGATGACAATGCTTTCCTTGTCAAAATTAGTGTCCTTCAGAAGATGGAGCATTGGCACCCTCGAAACGACACCTAAATTTGCGCCGCGCTCACTGTGACACATGTGGGTGTCACACCGGCCACTCCCTTAATTTTGTGTAGTCACGTCTCTTTAATTATGACTTCCGTTCTATAAATCAGTTTCTCTGTTTTGGAAAAATTTCTGCGCTTCTGTTATCCATGTATGCTCCATGTTCTTCTATCCATCCTCTCATGTTTTTTTTGTGCATATACAACTCTTGCGTGTGATGAGAAGAAACTCATCCTCTGTGCAACCATACTGCTGTCAGCATTTGATGATGTTGTACAAATTCTGCGGACTATTACGATGTTTATCTTGTGGTTTAAGGGCGCGTGTGGCACAGTGGTTGGAGGCGCCACTGCGACACACACATGGAATCGACTCCCGTGCCGATGGCCCACCAAGTCCTCCATCCCTCCGGGGTCGGCAAATTGGTACCAGACTTGTCTAGGAGGAAAGCAACACTGGCCCTATTCATCGGTAGGCCAGTGGGAGTCACTGTAAAGGCCAGATATGCATTCAGTCACCTCCAACGATGCTTAATGAAGGCGAATGCATGGCGCATCTCTCAGAGATTGATCAACGCCGAGAGCTTTATCCTTTCATCCTTTATCTTGTCGTTTTGATCCATTCCATACATACAGTACCCAAAAGTTATCATAGCAACTGAAAATTAGATAAACAGCGATTTTCTTATCAAAAATGATGCCGCTCACTGCATGCGGTACCAGCTCTTCGATAATCCACAATTTTTCAACTATTGGTGTGCTTCACGAGTTGGGACATCAACTCGATTTATTATAGAAGCTTTGCACTATCTATTTATATGTTTTTATGAACTGATCTTGTTGGGCTGATGCGAGATTGGTATATGTTGCCGTTGTCGTTGATGTTGTTGTTGTGGTTCTTGTTGGTCGATACCCGACGTCTTGGCGATTTCGCCTTCATAAGAGCCGTGCTGTTATGAGTGGGACTCTGAACTCTTTGCACTATCGTTCTATGGGTGTATATGATATATGTATATCCTCTGATTCTGTACGATTCATATTCATTCATTCATCATGGGGACTGCAAAAGATGGAGCGATCGTTTCGTAAGTTGGTGAGATTCACTATAGGCTTCCTTATCTATGCCATGTGACTTATTTAAGAATGTTCTAAAAGGTGATCTTGGTAAGCCTAGTTATGCGGAATTTAGTTTAAATGCAAAAAACAGGGTTATTATGGAAGAAGTTTAGACTTTAAGTTGGAATTGTTGAATATTGTATGTATTTGTGGGTGCCTCAAGCTGGAACCGAACCAGCGACCGTCTGTTCACCAACGGTTTAACGCCTCATCGTGGTTGGGAGGTGTTCCTGGGTGTGTGGCTGTATAGCGGTAGAATTCATACCCCCCCCCCCCCCAGCAAGGTCTACCAGGCTGAGGAGTCCGGCTTTTCGTTCAGGAAGCCTAGCTAAGAGTAAACCAATACCAGGACCTACCACCGTCCTGATATCAAACTAGGCACATGATGGCAAATCTCTCTGATCCACAAGGACTGCGACTGCTTGTCGTGGAGACGTCCTGGAGAAGACTTTGGCTAGGCTGACCTCCGTACTCCAAGGAAACACAATAGCCAAACCAGCAAAACTTCGAAAAGTGGAGATTATACTAGGACCCGCAGAACCAGTGAGGACGTCCTGTCCAAGTATCAAAGTAAGTAGTTGTAGGTTAGAAGCTGTTGTTGGGAATGACCACAGTTCCTACTCTGGAAATGCGCTTTGTATGCTGTTGTGAGCAAATGTGCTAAATTCTATAGGAGAAGCGTTTATTATATGCAAACATTAGAAGTTTTATGCAACAACGGTCAATTCTTCGCAGACCATTGCAATGGTCCCAATTGTAAAGGCTGTAAGAAAAATTGTAGCTAAATAAACATCTTTAGTGAAGGATGTACAACATCAGTAAGATGTTATGAAAATACGGGTTAAGAGCATGCATTCTTTCCAAAGCGGTACTCTACACATAGATGAATGCGCACTCAGTCCATACTTAGTCTGGGTGCACACTCCAAACACCCCAACAGACGCTTCCTTTAGAAGTCCTACATTGAAAAGCAGATGTGTCTGAGTTAAGCATCAACAAGATCGGCGATACATCAAGTGTTAGAAACAAAGACACAGAAACAAACAAGAACACTTTTCAGAAACAGAAAAACAAACAAACAGAAACACAGAAACAAACAAGAACACTTTTTCCAAAGATGTAGTTTCTCCATTGAAAAATGCGCACTTTGAGGACACCTAGGCTTTCTGCATGCTACAAACATGTTTGTAGAAGTCTCCTAGTTGATATACTATCTTTTCGTGATGATAAAGTGCTCCCAACCTCTAAACTACACTGTGTAAATGCCAACAGAGAGGAACGGTCTTCTCTATGAATTGTATTCAAACCTTAGTTAAGGTCATGAATATGTGTCGACTGACACAAATCCCAAAAGCTGCTCTTCAACTTTTGTTCTTTGCCGCAAAAGATTCGAAAGTGCCGGCGTGAACGCCAGCAAAGTACTGAAGCCGACCTTCAGATGAGCTCCGTGGTTAAATTACTCATAAAGGGATAAGCGATAAAATTTTCTGCATTGTTCTTCCTCGAGACATGTGACGTGTATTCTTATCCATAAAGTATTGTCGAAGTAATTGTGACTTTCTAAGCAAGCCGCTCAGTGATGCAGTAGGTAACAGTTGAGCGCACGAAGAGGGTAATCACCGGTTCGAATCCAGACTCGGTTCCAAGTTCAAGAAAGAGCAGCACAGCAGTGATTACGACGATAGCTGTGGATTTTTTCAGCTCGATTAGAGTATAAACAACATCCTCCACAATACAACAACCATTATCTATCAAAAGAATATTGTCTACCAATTCTCAATCAAATCCACATGTACTTCGTATGAAAACTAATGCATCACTTCCGAGTGTATTTCCTATACAAGCAGCTATATCGCTTTCACATATACTTCCTGCATGAGCTACTGTTTGACCTTCATGTAAACTTTTGTGAAAGCAGCTCAATCAGACTGCACTAAGTGAGAAACTTTCTAGATTCTCCTATTGAGCATTAACTCCACTTTCTTTTATCAAAACTGCGCCCATTACAGAAGGAATATAGGGGTCATTACTAGTCATCCCAGTTAGTTGGCTCAACTAGAACTCTTACAACCCTTCATCGTCGTTTTGACGCTTGTGTTTCCTACCACTCTCGATATCGCCACATCGTCAATACTGTACCGCTATTATTACTACAAACGGCCATAACTCAGTACTCCAAGTATTGAAAAATTCGTTTTGCTGAAACATAAAATAGCCCTGTGTGGTAAAGTAATATAAAATCGAGCATTGTGGTTGGAACCAGCGATTACTCCAATCTGACAATTGACTCAATTCTTGTGCATTGTTATAACTACCACTTCTCGTTCACTGGCCTAACTGCTACACAGAGCTATGTAGAAAACTACAGCTGTGTTGCAAGTTTCCCTCAATTACAGAAACAAAGTATGAAGTACAAAGCCTTATTATGTTCGAATTTTTTTAAAAGAAAACATAGTCTGGCGAACCAGTCTTTGCAGCAATCTTTATAACAGGAGAGTTGCATTCACAAAGATGAACGGATGAGAACAGAGATCTGAATTTCATCATAAATTCATCAGAAGATCAAAGAGATTTAGAAAGCCACTGATCAAATTATACGCATAATAAAGCGCAAAAAAGAGGACAAAGTTACTGAAAGCAACACTGAACGACCTGCCGTAAAGCGTTGCGAGAGCGTGACTCTACACTCAACAGTCGTCGTATTCAACTGCCTCATCACAATCAGCAAAACAGAACGTAATGCGATTCCCATTCTTACCCAGCTGGAATAAGCTTACGCTAATGAAGTTTTTTATCAATGGCAAGAGCACTCACCTTTATTGGAACAGCAAGATTAATAGGTCCTACTGCTCTACTCATCACATTCCTTTCTTCTTCCGTTAAACTTGACCTCCTTACCGGGAGCAGCGCATTTCACCACCATACCATCCGGGTCCTTCGTTTTGCCTGTGTCTCAGCTAGTTCTATCAATGTTTTTGCCATCAGCAATCACCCGTCAACGGTAAGGACAACAGCGCGGGTTCGTTCCCCACCGCATACACCTGCGGTCCGGAGTTTTGCAAATATCTCAGCATTATATACAATTTTATATGTCACGTTTAAAATAAAAGTAAAATTTAAAGCGGTAATGTGTTCGGTGTTGATGAATCCTTGACGTAAATATCACGCATTCGACTTTATCAAGCATGGTTAGAGGTAATTGAATGGGTCTCTGTCCTATATAGTGATTCACAGTGGCTTACAATGTACCACATCTGCGCTGCTATTCTCCTATGCAAGTGTGGTATAAAATATTTCGACCCCAAATTGTTGGAAGATTTGGTGAGACTATGGAGCGGGATCGAACCCAAGGGCACATGTGGACTAAAGAGCACCTGTAATCGCTACGCTACGCACACGACCAAAATGCTAAAATTGTGGCGTAATTTGCCAAAGAAATTTAAAATGGGGGATCTCGTAGGACTACATAATCAAAAAAAGTAATAAACGACAGATATAGAAATATAAAAAACTATGACAGGGTATAACGCAGAGAGATAATTACCTTGTAAAATGACGTATTCGACAAAATCAGTTGCGAAATGAAGTATGAGAAGTAGTACGCTATATTTTTATTGTGCTCTATCGCTTCCCCACTGAAAGGAACTCCTATGAGTTACGACTATAAAAAGATGAGACATATTTAAAATATAACACATGGTACCGTATTCACCTACTGCAGAACTGGAACCTCTGACACATTTTTTCGACAACGATATCTAGAGGCTTGCCATCAACCAAGAGAGGCAGTTGCCTAAATCTTTCACCTACAAAGGAAGAAAAAGTTTACAAAGTTAGGAAGGTGAGACCTGACGAGGTATTTAAATGCAACCAATGGGACCTGTTCCTCCCAACTACAAATCCGGCAGATGAGGTTGGGAAGGACGTTCACAGAATAAGTTACCCTAGAGGGAAATTTTGCATTAAACGCACTGGGAAGGGCATGACTATGTCCTTTCGAGGTAAGGTTGTACCTAAAGGTGTCGAAAGTAATGAAAACCGAATACAAATAGCACTAGCCTTTCGAGATAGTTCTCGGAAAAGCGCAATAGCAAGAGCGGCCACCTTCCTCTCTACATTTGTGCTGTCCTTTGTTGGCATCTGCTCGCTTTCTGTTCAGCGGACAGAGTGCGGCATCTGGTAATGTACCTCTTGGCTGAAACAAAGAAAGTAGGAAGTTCATACATTATATGTTCCACATTCACCCACCAAGATGTGGTTCAAATCGTTTACGGAATAGTATCCATACATGAGAGAGCAACTGGAAGATATTGACGTTATAATGTCCATTAGAACTAGGTGAGTTCTCGAACTTTTACTGCACTATGTATATTTATTCGATTGCTAATCAAGAAGAAATCAAAGTAGGAGTTGTTTGACAAGAAAAGCCATCCTCTGCAAATAGTGATTTACACAAAACCATTTCTCAGAAAAGTCCATATGCCGGTAATCGGACTAACAATTAACTGTGATTTCATTTTAATCATTACGGTTATTGCATGGGATGTGCGCATTTGCGCATATAAATATACCACAATAGAGTGAACATTAGCTGGAGAACACTTCCAAATGCTGACATCAATGTAATTGCATAAGGTACAATAGTTGTACATACTAAGTAGTAGCATAAGTATTATTCGTACTCTTAGGACGATACAGTAAAGTCTATTCTACAACCTCATGTCGTGTTCACAACCCTTAAACCCCTCTAATTACTGGAAACTTACTTTTTGCTATAAAAAAGACAGAAAGTCAGCTGTCCACAGTAAACTGCTCACACACCATCAAGCCCGTCACAAAAAGGGGCGCAGAAGTGAATGGGTTAAAGAAGTATTAAATACACAACGTAGCTTCAAAATATCATGAGTTAGCAAGTATTTGAGATAGAGCAATACTGTTATGCGCACACAAGGATCCGCATCCACTGGTCTAAACCACATTTGATAAAGACGAAATTTGATTTCAAAAGGACAAATCCCTTACATTTCGTAAAGAAAAAGACATCCATTCTTCAGCATAGTGGGGAAACGATGCATGACGCCAACACCGCGGCCAGCAAGTACTCTTTCATCTGAGGGTCTGGTTGTGAACAAATAAAAGTAAACAGTGTAGGGTTGGCTTTCTCAGTGACTTGAGCGCTAAAAGCATATATATATATATAACTATATGCATACATAACTTGAAAAATTAATAACTGCGTCACATACCAAATCAACAGAAATTTGGCGAAAGTTCTCAGAGCTGCGTTGCGAATCTCATCTGGAATCCTGGGACAATGTACGAAAAACACGACCAAAGCCAAAGAGTGCCCATCAACGCCACTCTTGAGAAGCAACCGTGTTTGAAGCAACGCCTGTGTCCGCGTCCAAATATGTTCCTCATTTGAAAGACCTTAAGTATAAGTGGTGAAATTATAAAGCATCACCTCATCTTACGGTTTTAAAAACCATCAAGCTCACGATTAGAATCGTCTTCTGAAATCCTAACTCATTCGCAGCCTTATCAGCGGCTTTCTCCAAAGCAGAACCAAGCTCTGGCGATGTACTATCACCGCCCTCTGCCTTCGATTTGGCTATAGAAGTGACCGCTCTCGCGAATAAGTCCTCCCGATAAGCCAAATCCATCTCAATGCCAAAATGATCCTTGTTGAAGTCAGCATAAGGTTCCACGGCTTTTTCGAGTTCCTTTAAAAAAATCAATGAAGTAGTAGACTAGTAGATCTCATATTTCGATAGAAAGTGCGACGTACTTCCGAACATTTCTCATCCAAAGTCATTGCACGTTTTAGTAGCTTCGGGAAGTAGTTGTCAACATAGACAAAAATACTTTGTATGACCTTGAGAAGAAGAATCATTACTGTTAAAACCTTCTGGGCAAAAAGAGATACAACTGTATTCTGAAAACGAACCTCCACAATCAGCATTAGGAGTCGTTCCGTAGTCTTCTGCCATGCTGTGTTCCAATATTCACTATAACTTTAGAGAATAAGAGATCACAACAGAGAATATCGACAAACACATCCACTTGGAAATGACAATCAGAGGGTTTCAAAATAATGTCTTGTACTGTTGAACTTATTTAGCATGCAAAATTCCACGAAAGGTTACAAACAAAAGGAAATACCTTCGAGCAATTGCCCACTCACGATCGATCGATCGATGGCGGGGAGCCTTCTTTATATAATATCAACAGTTGAGCGGAACGATGAGCGTACCACATTGCCTTCAGGTAAAACAGTTACATATTATTCTAAATATTAAACGAAAGTCTCAAGTTGTCTTAATCAGACACCACACTCCACTGCGGCTCTACGCTTCACAAGCAGTGACGCATATGAATAGTTCTTATCTCAGATTTACCAAATTTAAGTCATGAAGACCATTGGAAAATGAGACTTCTACCTCGATACGGATATCATAACTAATACCAGGGAAAAAACCACGATTCTATCAAGATTTATATAGTCGTACCTTTCCAAGTATCCTTGAGACAACGTAGTCGATGTCAGCAGACAAAGCGAAAACTGCTTTCACACAGTGACGCATGCTGACATACCAGTACTGTGACTCGACAGTGTCATCGTCCGATAACATCACTTGAATTCGTAAAAGCATGTACTTGTTTTAAAAAAAGCACTTGATTTGTAACGAAAATTGTGAATCCAGCTCAATAAGGAGTCTGACGCTAATTAAAGGCGATCCCAAAAACACGTCCCAAGATGGCTAGCAAGGAATAAACGTCAACTGAAGTCGGCATAAACATGAGCATGGAAAGGCTGTCCTGTTTATCCTCTACAAGTTCTTTATTTAACTCATCTTCAACGGGATTTGTATGACAGTTGACGAAGAGCAAAGGAAGTCAGTCACATAATTAAACAGAGCTCCAAAAAGTGTTCAGCAGAACGACTGGTCACATCTACATGTCTACAAAACAAGAAACTACTACGATAGTTCAAAGTGCCATGTTCCTGGTCTAAAAAAGTCGATAACCTTTAAAGTTATTAAAGCATCTCTCCGCAAAATCGTTAGGAAATTGGGATAGGATAATACGAGGTCGAATATCGATGTCAAAAAGGTGTAGTTGATCCTGGTGTTTCAATCACGCCCAACAGAACGAATATCTCACTGAACGAATACCACTGTACCAAGTGTATAAATTGGGATAGCGTAGTTAACATGATAAAGAACTTCGCATAGGAGCTCTATGGAAACCGAGTTTAGGTAGACTACAATGCCAACAAGGACGAAGTAAGAGAACGGAGAACATTTTCCTCCATGCTCCAATCAACGGCCTAATATTTCCCCTTTCCATAACTTACGCCTCATAGCGCTGAGGTCTCATAAGCAGAATGATTATTCAATAATATCGAATGCGCTGTCGAGAGAGCTTTGCTAACTATGAAAACAGTATCTCGTTAGAGATAGGACCCAGAGTCATAACCGGCGACCAGAAAGCACAGGCGTTATCGCTTACGTTCACAGTATCCAAAATACAGCGGGAGAGACACGCGAAAGGTCTCAACGAAGTTAATTGTACAAATGCCGCAAGGACCTGTACACCAATGGGGAACAGAAATCGCCGACTTAATGTCAAAACTTTCACGAAGACCCTAGAAAAGGGATTCTTGGGCCTCGACTAAGCAGCATATACCTGGCAAATGTGGCACGAAATGTGTGTTGTCAGACCAAGACAATGTAAAGCACTAAAAAATGTCATTTTTTCGTACTCTTTCTGAATCAAATACGACTGGAGACCACATGGACAAGCTCCAGACGTTTCCTGACCAGTCAGAAGACGAGTGGTTCAGGTGATTTGTACGATGCCAAAAAAGAAAACTAAAATTGGCAACTACCTCTAAGCAAGAACTCTTCCATATCTGGAAATAGTGAGTCTATCGCTCGCAAGTGATATAAGTAGGCTTCGTCCTCTTTGTCCACTGTGTTCTGGAACGGCATCATATGAAATTGTACACTTTGCACTTAGCTTATGAATAATTGCTAATTCATATTTTTCTATGTAAATGCTACCGCATCCCCAAAAACAACACCCACCTCGTTCAATGGAATAAAATATGAAATAGCACCCAGAGCTTCACGTGCCACAAGCACGTCAGAAGAGCGAAGAGGAAGAAGGGACTTCGCCAATGGTCTGACATTAATGTAACAATAATTAGAAACTGTTAAAGAACTTCCAAACCAACCTTAATAAGATGGTTGACGAGTTCAAATGGAAACTTGTTTCGACTGAACGCAAGAAAGAGCAGTTCCTCTAAAGCGTACCGATCTTTCTTAAAACGGTAAAATTCAATTAAGGTGTAAAAATAATACACTTCCTCAATAAAAAACAAACCAATGGAATATGAAACGAGCGCTGAAATACGCTCCTATTTACAGACATTCTAGAACGATTTAGAGCAGCACATAAGAAAAGTCTTAGCTACGGTGAGGAAAGAACATCGTTCAAAGATACCCTAAGCAGACAAACACAGAGAACACGCTTTAACACATTCGTGCCGACATGACCTCATAAAGACCGAAAATGATGTAGAAACAACTGTTGCTTTCAACCTTACACCAGCTTATCACAGTGAATTTCAACGAGAATCACCAGCATATATAGATCTTCTCCTATCAGATCTCCTGCTCAGTAGTGATGAAATATGCACCCATAAAATATATGTTATCAAAATTTCCGGTTAAGAAACCAATACCACAAGTGTTTAATAATTCGAAAGAACGACGTTCGATTAATCTCTGTACTAATTTCAAAATCTAATCTTACAAGCTCTCCTTCTGCAGCTGACAAGCATGTATTTTCACCCGGCATGACGTGACACAATGGTATCCTCCAAAATGGATCTTTGGTTTTCCGACTCTCATGCTGCGGCGGAATTTCTAAAAATTGGACTTCCTTTTCAATTTTTTGTGATTTTTAACTGAAACATGAAACTGAAGAGTTTTTGATGCCTGATACAGAGCATGCTGTATTCTCTTTCAGACACATTTGAAATGTTTTCAACCTCTGAAGCAACTATTAGTCGAAAAACTGTCGTTTGTTGTTGAAAAACTAAATTGATCACAAATGTGTTTAGCGATTAAAACATGTTCTGCATTGGCACTTAATCAAAATTTTGCCGAACTAACACACATAGAACTTGCTATCCGGCCAAACCAAAATATGTTTAGTAACAAATGCACTTTACCATGCCTGGCTTGCTCTGACTTGCAATCAGTCCTTTAGCAGTTTCAACGACATCGACTTCTCCCTTGGTAAATAAAAAAATACAAAACAAGTAAGCCCTAAACGAACGGAAAAAACAATGAGTGGAAATGTCCATCGAAAGGAAAACTAAAATATCGTGGAACAGAAGCCATATTATCAGCAAATGCCGACGAAGCTATAGCACCCATCCCAAATACGAAGTTCAACTCCGCTATTGGAAATGCGCCGACGACCACACACCTCTTCTACTCCATATTTATATCTAACATTGAAGCGATCTAAACGCTAAAACTATTTCGCCAAAACTACTCATTGCTGCGCCAGATTTGAAAAAGAAATCGGTAGATTTGAACTAAAGTTGGTAGAACTTGATGGAAAACTTCTACCCAAATTTAGGCTTATTGATTTCCCCATCATCTCTTCGGGAAATACACATTACTCCGAGAGATCAACGAAGCACAGCGAAGGTATACTTAAAATGCAGGCTAGCTTTAACTATTATTCGAGCGACCTCTGCAAGGAAAAAAAGCCTTGTCTGCAATAACAAGGCGGCTTTGATTAAAACTTTGGAGATGTTGATTTGAAACCCTCAATTCTGAATATGAAATCATAAAAACAATAACTATGGAACCAATGAAGAAGGCTAACCGTGTCCAACCTCAAACGTATTTTCAAAACGAAAACTGCTTCATGAAAACCCGAATTACGTACGGTCCAAAATAGGAAACTTCCACCACTACATATGACGGTGCTTCACGTGTTTAACAGTGACATAGTCCTTGCAGTCTTCACTAAGCGAGCAGAAAACAAATCATGAAGGAAGTATTAAGAAAAATATGGTGAACTGTGAAGAACAAGAAAAATGTACCACTGGCAAGTTTGAAGTGGACACAAATAGGGCGAAGATGACAAAAAAGTTCCTGAAGTTCTGGCTCTGAAGAGGTTACAGCAAATCTTGGATGAGCAGCGAAATTGACTATAGTTTCGGCTAGAGCCCTAAATGACTATAACAGTCAAATAAAGGAAAACCTGTGGATCGCAACTATGAAGCCCTGAGCTATTTCATAGACTAAGGCAGTATTTCACCTTAACCAACTTAGCAAAAATAAGCTCGCCTGAGCATTTGGATATCAGCTTCCGCAGGTCGCCAAAGGAATTTTATAGCGTTATCGATAGATTCTCCGTTACCGTGACGAATATTTATGCAGCAAATAAAGCGGACAATCCCAACGATCTTTAAAAAAAACTCTAAATGAACATATGCAATGGGATAAACATGTGCTTGAAATATTCACCTCAACACGTAGATGATCCCTCCAAACAGCCAAGTCCTCGCCGGAAATGCTGTCCCTGCTTAATCTGTCATTCTCATTCAACTCATGAATTCCGATTCCCACGGAATTCGCTCCAAATCTGTTGTACGCACTACAAATATAGTATGGAATCAGGTTCAGGGTGAAATAAAATTAAATCAGAAGAAATCACAATTATAACCTTATTCGATAAAGATAGATCGATAGAACTAGCTGAGAGGCATGCAAAGCGAAGGACTAGGATGGTGTAGTGGTGAAGTGCGCTGCTCCCCGGTAAGGACAACAGCGTGTGTTCGTTCCCCACTGCATACACCTGTGGTCCGGAGTTTTGCAAATATCTCAGCATTTCATACGAGTTGTAAAATTCGAAACATACCCTGCCATTAAGAAGAAAAAGGCAGTAAATAAAAGAGTTAAGATTGTGATTATAACTAGGCCTCAGCTTAACTGGGTTCAATGCCGACATTGGCTCCGCAGATCAATCCTGTTGACGGGTGGTTGCTGATGGCAAAAAGATCGATAGAACTAGCTGAGAGACATGCAAAGCGAAGGACCCGGATGGTGTAGTGGTGAAGTGCGCTGCTCCCCGGTTAGGACAACAGCGCGTGTTCGTTCCCCACTGCATACACCTGTGGTCCGGAGTTTTGCAAATATCTCAGCATTTCATACGAGTTATAACCTTATTACTTATTGCCTACTATAATTTTTGACGGCAAGGTATCATGTGAAATACAACTAGGATGACGCTGAGATATTTGCAAAACTCCGGACGGCATGTGTCTGCGGTGAAGAACGAACGTGCAATTGTCCTTTTCGGGGAGTAACGCGTTCACCACCACACTATGCGGGTCCTTCGTTTTGCCTGTCTCTCAGTCAGTTCTATCGATTGGCGCCATCAGCGATCACCCGTCAATGGGACTGATCCAGGGAGCACAAATGGTGGTGAACGCGTTACTCCTCGGAAAGGACAATAACGCGCTCGTTCCCCACCGCAGACACCTGCGGTCCTGACTTTTGCAAATATCTCAGCATCATCCTTGTTGTAAATGGGGAGATTCAAAAAACAGTGGGTGGCCGTCCTACGCCGATCCNGTGTCTGCGGTGAAGAACGAACGTGCAATTGTCCTTTTCGGGGAGTAACGCGTTCACCACCACACTATGCGGGTCCTTCGTTTTGCCTGTCTCTCAGTCAGTTCTATCGATTGGCGCCATCAGCGATCACCCGTCAATGGGACTGATCCAGGGAGCACAAATGGTGGTGAACGCGTTACTCCTCGGAAAGGACAATAACGCGCTCGTTCCCCACCGCAGACACCTGCGGTCCTGACTTTTGCAAATATCTCAGCATCATCCTTGTTGTAAATGGGGAGATTCAAAAAACAGTGGGTGGCCGTCCTACGCCGATCCCCTAAAAATTGCTGCAGATAGACTTTTAAATAGAGCCGATTTAAGTGCAATACTTACTTAGAGTCGAACAAATATCGAAAAATGGGTGGTCAGCGACTTGTACAATGCGCTCAAACTGAGGACAAGAATGTCACTATATTCTAAATCCTTCACTGCTTGCACAATTATGGTCACATATCAGGTATAAACAGCAGTGATAACACTCACATGGAAATTATTCCCTAACAACTAGAGGTTACACACCAAAATCATATTTAGCTTTACATTTAGACACAAGTGTTGTAGTCAAAGTGGATTCCGTTTGTTACCATTGCCCTCAATCGGTTGGTCCATTGTCTAAACTGTACTTCCGTAACCACATTTGCACTAATTTCAGATCAAATAAAATTGGTAGGTCTGCCCGAAGAAATCGCTGCCGACACAAAGCTCCACTCCGATCTGCGAGGGTTAGCGACTGCCAGTGATGGAAACCAGAGCACGCCATAGGATAAATCAGACCTCGATATTATACTTGTATGCACTTCCATAGCCGAAGAAATCAATACTAAGCATGACGGTCGTCAGGTAAAGAAATGAATGGAAAATGAGCTGGGAATCGCACTACTCGTGATGAGAAGCTATCTAAGGACCAAAAGTAAAAAATTCGGGCAATAGCATTTGGAAGGAAAACGCTTAACCTAAGTTCACAAGCAATACAATAACTCTCATATGGTGTATAGGTGTGTGGTTCTTCACCCTAGCTACGCACCTATAAGATGACTTGCCATCAACAAAAATGTAGCATCCAGCAGGTTCTTATTAGTGTCGTTTTCTTTGTGGTAGTAGTTCATGGCGTCGGTCTGTTTAATATATGGCGACATGTGCAAAATGTACTTAGAAACTTATAGAAAGCTCAAGATTCTCACAGCGTTGATCATGCGCCACGCATTCGACTTCATTAAGCATCATTAGAGGTGACTGAATATATATCTGACCTTTACAATGATTCCGGCTGGCACACCGATGTATCGAGCCAGTATCATGATAAAGTAGACCACATCATAGTGAATCGAACGTTTTGCCCAAGCGACGTCGCTGTTGTCCCAAAATTCTGCACGGGATCAGACCATCGCTTCCTCCTCGCAGGATTTCATTTCTCGCGGAAAGGAGGAAAAGCCGCTAATTTAAAAACATGAAGTCCTAAAATTACCACAAACTGGAATTTATTCGATTCATTTTCTTCCCGTTCTTCCTCAGTGGAACATCTCTCTCCAGTAAGTCATACCCAGTCGACGATGCCCTTTTATCGTTATTTTATTATTCACTTTATAAGTTGGTCGGGCTCGATGGGTGACGAAGACGCCGCCTCGAGAGCACGAACAACTGTGGACCATCGACTCCGATCATCGGCTGTCATGAAGACGACACCGTGGAAACGTTAACCGGAAATAAACAATGTTATCAACCTCGTGTGAGCCTATCAAAGAAAGAATGCATACTGAGCCGATCGTGATGTTATCGAGAATGGCATCTTCCCAAAAGCCGACTAATGAATCGAATAAATCTCAGCTTGTGGTAATTTTAGAACTTCGCATTTTGGATTTAGCGGCTTTCCCTACCTTCCTCGAGAAATGAAATCCTGCGAGGAGCGATGGTCTGATCCCGTGCAGAATTTTGCGACAATAGCGGCATCGGTTAGGCAAAACGTTCGATTTACTATGATGTGGTCTACTTTGTCATGGTGCTGTCCATTGAGAGACTCCCACGTCCAGCGTTGAGAGTGGAGCTTCTGGAGTTCCGAGTTACCATTAATGGCCCTGGTCGTCATGAGAAACCCAGACAGCCGCTCACCTTGCTCGTTCTATACTAATCCGTAGGTCCCGAAGTAACGTTCTTCAGACGTTCTTCTGGGTCCAATCCTCGCGTTAAAATCTCCAATGATGAGTCTGGAGAATGTACCGCCTTCCTTGTAAGTTTTCTAAGTTCATATAGAGGGCTTCGAATTCTTCGTCAGAATTTGATGACGGAACGTGAACGGCGAAGATTGTCAAAGCATGTATTGATCCACATGTTTTTAATCGCAAACGTCTGATTCGGGTTGTTAATTGTTCGAATGAATCGATTTTCATGGGCAAACTCGTGTTGACGAGAACGCCGACGCTGCCGACTCCTCTACTATCACATGTTCCAAAGAACAGTTCTTCTCCGGTTTCATAGACGGCGTTGAATGGGTGGCCTCGTCTCGCCTCGCCCAGGCCGATGACTTCGTTCTTTATCCTTCTTGCTTGCATGAGCAATTCTTCTATCGAGGACTGGGATGCAAGTGTACGTGCATTGTAGGTACAGAACGTCACCTTAGTTTTTCGCGATCCAGGCAGCTTCCATTGGCCCTGAGATTTAGCAGCCTCTCCGTACTCGTCCTACCCAACGCTGCTGAACTGGGGGCTCGTTCGGGGTCAAGCGAATGAAGCCCGTTTATTTTACTGTTTGACACCTTTTTGACACCCACGTACAGCCTGCTGGACTCTGAACGTGGGGGCTGGGTATACTTACGAGCAGCTTTCCAGTCTCTCTCAAAGTGAGCATGGAGCTTATTTGTTAGGAGCGTCTCCTAACCGCCTCCCATATACCTCCCTTTCACTTGATTGCAGGCTTTTGGCTGAATTGACTCATAGAATACAATCCGCATAAGCGATAATGCATTCACACGCGTATGCATGAATACGCCCTCGTAAATACAGAAAGCATGCGTCAAATCGGCGCGACAGAAATACATAGTCCATCTCCTGTTTCTACCTGTGTATCCGGGAAGCAAAGGTCGTTTTTGGTCCGCGATTAACCCCTTATCCACCACCTGGGACGCGCCACGTAGCCTCGCGACTAACTGGCTTGAGATCGCTTATGTGGGGGATATCCATTAGGACATAGTGTGCAATTTTGCATTGTTAATAGACGATCATACAAGCGCTTCCTAATTGGCCGTCTCTAAGTGTTCGGTGGTAGTTAAATCACTACTAGACTCGCCCTTTCTGAGCACCGCTTTATCATCATGCTCATTTCGTTGGATATGGAGAGCAGCTTGTACGGTACTTTACCATCTGCTTTGTCATTTACTCGCCGCTGCGAAACCTCAGGGACCACCGTGCATTGTACTCTCTAAGACCTTTGATTTCCCGAAACGTTTTACGGTAGCAATGTCACTAAAAAATTGTTGTTACAAGATGTTTTTTTCCACATTTCATGGTGACAAAATTCATCTTTACTTTCACATTAACCATAATGTTGTTTGTCTCGTTGTGAATTTACCTCTGTTCCGCACCTCAAATCTTCCGTTCTACCTCAGGAAGTACCTCACTATCAAGACTGCGAAATGTTTGAAGACCTACGTGGCAGCTTCCACTAAGACAAAGCACTCTACTGCTTGGCACACAAATACAGAGATATTAGATTCTTCATTATAGCAATAACGCCTTATTTAGATGACTTAAGCTAATTACTCGTATACAATTCTGCGTCATAAAATAAACATCACAAATCGTCTGGATGTAGGCACAGAAATGAGTACACTCCACCAGCAATAACAATTGATGAAGGCACTTAAACTACTGGACGTCACATTAGAAGTGCTGAGTGGAGTCATCAGCAGAAAATCCAGCTATGAAAAAGGCCATCACGAACCGGGCGATGTTCTTCCACTGTGCTAGATAGCCATCCTAACTCGACATCGATGTAAATTTGGACAATACACAGTTTTACAAGGCTATTTTAATGAATGTAGAAGTCTTAGCGGTTATTACTGTTCACAGAATATTGAACATTTCAAGTTGTGAGCAAATGAATCCATGAAAAATGCTTAATTTTGAGAGTTATCATACAATTTGAATGCAGGTTTGAAGAAAATGTAAACAGGCACTATCAAGCGTGATTGCTTCTCGAAAACATCACGTGGCGATCGCAGTTTCATCAGGTTTTAAAGAAGCCATAATATAACAAAACTCGTTAGAGTGAGCATGAAGTTTTAGGACAATAAGCTTCATACCTAAATAATTCCTCCCTTTTCTCTACAGAGTTTATAGTGGACAAGTCGCAAAATCGTTATATCCATAACGGAAAGTTGCATGTGATTTCAAACATGCTCATGTCATCGGTATACTAGGAAATCACTCTACGACACATGATGTAGCTGTCGCATCAGGTTCGCTAGTTTAGTATATCCTGTCCCGAGCGCGGAGTATAGATGTCTCGAAAGCTTTTGGAAAATCTTCGAAATTCTTTGATAATTATCAAAGAGGACATGCGTCCAACTCGTCCACTGCATGGACATGCGATATTTGAGGTGATTAGTAGAAAAATTCCAAATAAGTCATTCTGAATTTGTCCCATTAGTGCGATCAAACTAGGAGTGGACGAGTTACCTAACCGACATTCATCAAATTTCAATGAAATGCCTACTTTTACTTTAAGGTCCCCAAAAGACTCCATTCATTTTTTATAGGATTCTTCTCTGAATAGGAATGAATGAGCAAAATACGACGGATGTTGAATTGTTTTCTTTAAATCTGCACGTCTACAGGCCTTATAAATCCGCTGAGGTAGTAGTGTATATGGATGGTGAGGAAATCACACAAAGCAGTGATCAATCCAAAACTGATAGACCGATAACCATCCTATTTTCACAAGGTGAGCAATCAGTTATGGACCTTTGCCTCTTCGATGGAGTCCGCTCGATTGTAATTCAAGTGTGCGTAGATCAATACTCCAATATCTCTGTGCCCATTTTCAACAGCAATGGATAGCGCCGTGGAACTGTCCTGTAAAATCTGGATTACAATGGCTACAAAAGGTAGACAAATTTCTTGTGTAAATGCGTAACGACACGTGTTCATAGGGAGAACCAAAAAAGAGAGTTAAGTGGAGGATATATCAGAAAGATTAAGAGTATGACAGAAAGAGTTATATCTGAAAGATTAAGAGTATGGCGTAAAGGAGAAGAATTTCGAAACACACTTCCTTTGTTCATTTCTTGGCTCTGCAACCATTACTGAGGGTGGCAGTGCGCTTTGTTGAGTTCCCTGTGCTTCTCTTCTTACCCTATAACCCTGAGATGGTTGGGCAAGGATGTACCGAGATGGTCACCACAAGCAGTTCTAGGATCCTGTCGGTCGAATGATGATTTGCAAGTGTTCCCGTAGTTACATCGATTTCTTCGATTAGTTTCCGACCAACTGAGGACAATGTGGTTGGTCGAGTTCGTGACAGACGACAAATAAAAAGAAATACAGGAAAGCCAGGCAGTTCAAAAAAGTTTAAGCGCGAAAACAAATTAATAGACATGAAAACGACGACCAGCACTGTTAAGTGGAAAAGTAGGATCAACAGGAGCGTCTTTAGAACCCAGCTTCTACCATTTCGACACCTCATGACAATTCACGGAAATCCTGTTCTTCGCACACCGTGACGTCTGTCAGTATTACTTTGAGTTTTACATTTTCCTAGAACTTCCTACTCCTAATTTTTAACGTCCAAGTTGTTATCGCACACATAGAGTTTATTGTTCCCTGTTTCTGATCGAGTACCAGAATGAAGAACCCGAGGTTACTGTTTTCCAGCGGTGGTTTCAGGTTTGGCAAAAGAGAAGAAAGCAACAGGTACGGTTGAAATACAACACTTCAATCAGGATGATGAACTAGCGAAAATTCTATTTTCTTTCATCGGGTATGCAAGAAGAATATTACATTCGTGATGATCTCAATAGAGCTTTGAGCATTTTTAAGTGGTTTTTCAGAAATAATTTCTTTCACCGTGCCCCGATAACCAGGTTTTGCAACCATCAATCCACCAGAACGGCAGTAATTCCCGCGGTTAAAGGCCCAAATAGAAATGGGAGTGAGAAAAAGCATTTTTGAACAGGCTGTAATTACCTTAATGTAAAGAAAAATAAAAAGCAAACATAAATCACTTACACAGTCTGTTAATGCGGCATCAATCCCCGGTTGTGACAGTAGAAGCTTAACGATTTCCTTGTGACCATGTTCGGCAGCACACATAAGGGCTGTAGAGCCTTCTTCGTCCTAAGTGTGACTGGTGTTCTGATCACAGCAATTAATCCACAACTCTGGGATCGAACAGGTACCTGTAGATTAACATCCGCTCCGCATGCCAGCAACAATTCGGTAGTGCTCATCTTACCATGAGACACTGATAACATTAATGCAGTCTGTCCGTGCTGTGCGGCACGTGCATTCACGTCACCCAACTCAAATAACCTATAAATCGTATAGAGTTACTAATTCTAGAAAGCATCGATATTTAGGCATACGAATTAACGGTTTAAACCCGAAATCACATATTTCTAAATCTATTCCAACCAACAAAGTTCACTTTGTACTAAGACATCTTGGTTTAAAGTTTAAAGCGTGTGAAAGGAAATCAACTCACTTCGGTCCTAACTAAGATTATTTTCAGAGTTACACGTTCATGGATAATATTGGCTTTCTCCACAAAGCATAAAGTAAACGTGGTAGTGCCAGTGAACGAGCCATGCTTTGCTATTATTTTCCATAGTGGACAGTATATCCTCATAATTTTACAAGAGCCAGAAAACCGAGCTTTACTAGGCACAATATTCATATGCATACTATACTATTACCCTATTTCTAACTAAAGCATTTATTTGAAATTACTGAAGGATAGGTTTCCCTTAGGTGGAAGTCCACGAGTGCTCATACATTAATAAAATTGATATCTCTTTTATCTTCTCCATCTTTGAAGTTGAAATTTGCACTTTTCCATTAAGAAAGCAATTATATTGCAGTTGTAACTGATGGCAAAATATCGATAGAACTAGGTGAGCGACAGGCGAAGTGAAGGACCCGCGTAGTGTGGTGGTGAATGCGCTACTCCCCGGAAAGGACAATAACGTGTTCATTCCCCACCGCATTCACCTGCGCTCTGGAGTTTCGCAAATATCTCACCAACATTGAAGTTATATTGCAGTTGTTTAAAAAATTTAAGGAGAGATTTCCTAATGTGTAGTATCAAAAAGAAATGCCACTCCCTTTAGCGGCTGATTAAAAAGCTATGAGTTTTTCCCCTTTTAAGGATAACCAGTGAAGCTTAAAACTAAGTGAAACCATAAAGCTACACATTACTTAAAAACTTGCATTAGATTTAGATAGGTTCTCTTAACACTATAATAATTTCCTCTCCTTTATGGATCTCCTTAGAATGCTGTAGATGAGATTCTCCACATTCACATAGAGCTAAGCATCCACGAGCAAACTAAGTGGATCTAGCGAATGATGATAAGCGATAGAGCTTCACTACTGATTACTTTTACAGATTTCTCGATAGTAAACTAGGAGCAAGAAAGCGACGTCGATGTAGCTCCTTACTTCTAATGAAAAATAGAGCAGATCTTTACAGCAACGACAACCTAGAATCGTTTACCTTTGAACAACGACCTTTTCCACGTCGTTTTCCAGCGAGCAGAGAGCAGCCAACATCACAGCAGAATAACCGGCTCGATTCGCAAGATTTAATTGACATTCACCCGAATCCAACAAGGACGATACAACGAGAAAATTTCCGTGGGATACAGCATAGTGCAAAGCGGTATTGCCCTGTTGAATTTTCAAGTTCAAGATGAACTTTCACAACTTCGAAATCCAACATGCTTACTAAAAGATGAGGAACCAAAAAAACTACTATCAGTGGGCTATATAAACAAGGACAAGTATAAAAATGCGCATTGTTCGGAAATAAACCAACTTACGTTCTGGTCGGTTATGTTCACAACGACCTTCAGCAGAGCCTCCGAGAGTTCTTTGAGCTGCTCAATTAGTATGTCAACCGCTTCAAACTGACTGTTTTTGCGAGCCGCACATTTCAACCATTCATGTTGTACGTATTTAAAAGCCCAATCCTGAAAAGAGTACATTCTTCGACTTCACCTAACAGATAGCTTACCCAGCATCTACTTGAATCTACTTGACATGGGAACATTTTGACAACTTACCACAAAAGAAAGGAAATCAATAGGAGAATAAACCCCTTTGAAGGTTTTTGTAGTTTAACAAATAATTCGACTCAGTGACAGAAAGCACAGGCGAAAAAAGCACAAACCCAGGAAACTACGAAGTAAATTAGAACCATTTTTGTGGTTCTACTCTTTGAATTTCTAATTATTGAAGGAACCACCTTTTTTCTTAGAAATAAGTTCACAAGAAGAACCGCAAGTGGTCACTGTTTAAAACTCCCTTTCCAAAACCATTTATATATGGCTTAATTAGTTTTAGTTGGTTCATCTAAAACTATCTCACAGCTGTTTCAGGTGTGATCGATCCCGGTTGAATGAGATGCGAATTGAGACTTTCCATGGCTTCTCGCATCGGAATCGAAATCTCGTACGGTGAGTCTAAAGACAATGTGAGACGTAACTGTAATGAACATCAGTTGCAGCCTTTCCAAAATGGACGCTTTTTTAAGTTCAAAGAAAATCCCAGAAAGATAAACTTGTTGCCCCGCCGAGGGATTACACATAAAGACCACAAGAAATTTGCTCTAAACAACTAACTTCTATCTAAAGTTAGCGGTAAACAACCCTATTTAAATTCCTATATCCCCTGTCGTCCCGCTTATCGTCGAGTGACTCTAGCGGGGGCCTGTAAATCTTCCATTTTTCCCTGTTGCGTATAAGAGTATCGCACACCCGACTCCGTGCCCACCTTTTCAACTCAACAGCACTTTCTGCTCTAACGTATCCGTCTGAAACCTGGTCACTGCGTGGGCAGGATGGAGGATCGCTCAGCCTTGTCGAACATGCAATCGAAAGGAGGTTGCTAGGAGTATCCCGTTTTACACAAGTAAATGATGCGATCCGAAGCTCCGATCTGCGTCAACAATCGAAAGAAGCACCGTTGAGTTGAAAAGGTGGGCACGTAGTCGGGTGATCTTTGTTCTCTTCACTACATCCTCGTTGCTCTTGGAAGCATCCCAAGCCCCTTGTTTCTCCTTACTCAACTCTGGGGCTAAGACATTCATCATGATGATATCGCCACCCTTGTCCAGTGCTCTTTCAATCCCGTTTACGATAACTCAAGTGGAAAGATTGTACACGTTAGACAGTAAGCAGATTCGCCAACAGTTGCCGATGTCGTGGAGGTCACCTTTCCTGAACAATAACAATCTTTCTGGCCTTTCACTGAGTAGGAACCTTGCATTTAGATGGATAACGTGTGAAGAGCCAAGCCAATGCGGAAGGTTGGAAGGTTCCTCAGATGTTCACATCTTATCCTATCAGGACCTGGTGTTGTTCAATTCTTTACCGACGAAATAGCATGTCAGATGTCGTAAAACGAGAGCAAGTGGTATGACATATCCATCATCCTTTATTTCACACAAGAGTAGGAAGACGTGGCTATTGGAGAGATCCGAGCAGTAATCCTGAATAATTTTCTCCACTGCCTTTCTGGAAGCTGTAACTATTCCTTCAGGGCCAAGGCATCAGAGTGCAATCATCTTGGTCTTGTAAATGGCGAAGCTTCGGTGGGCTTTGCGAATGCTTTTCCAATCATCTGTAGCTTCGGCCATAACTGCTGTTCTTTCCTCCCTAAGATCTTTTTTTATCGCCTATTTGCATCATTTTCCAAGTTCGAACGTGAGTTGGCGGTTGCCTTGTAGCTCGTGCAATTCCACGCTGGCGTACTAGTTGGAGTGTTCTTGGAGACAGACGTCTCTTGGTGACTTACGAACTGTTATCTTTCAAAGTGTCAACTAGAAGTGCTTTCATGAGACGGTCGCGTTACTGAGAACGGCATCTTCTCAACACTCAACTAATGCACTGAATAAATCCGAGCTAATGGTGGTTTTGGATCCTCGGTTTTCTAATTTAGTGGTTTTTTCTCGCTTCTGTGAAGAATGAATTCTTGTACAAAGGATCTCATGTGAAGTTGTGGGACAATGGCGACATCTTTTAGATAAAAACTTTGATTTACTACAAGGTGGTCTATTTTGTTATGGCACACCCCATTGGCAGACACCTACGCCCTGAGTTGACTGTGGGACTTCTAGAATTGCGAGGTAGCATGAACGGTCTTGGTCGCCATGATAAACTCAGACAGTCGACTACCCTGCTCCCCGTATTCTAATTCGTGTGTCTCGATGTGGCGTTCTTCAGACCCTCCTCTTGGTCTAGTCTTAGCGTTAGAATCTCCAGTGATAACCTTGAGGAATGTATGGTCTTCTCTGTAGGACTTCTCCAAGTCCATATAGAACGCTTCGATTTCGTCTTCGTCATAGCTTGATGTCGGTGTGTAAACGACGAAGATCGTCAAAGCCAGTGCTGATCCAGATCTCTTTAATCATAAACGTCCGATTCGGGCTGTTAGGTGTTCAAATGAGTGGATGTTTATGGCCAAACTCGTGTTGACGAAAACACCGACTCCACCGGCATACTCTATTGCTGCATACGCCCAGCAGTTCTTCTCCGGTGTCATAGACGGCATTGAATGGATGGCTTCTTCTGGTCTCGGCCTGTCCGACGACGCCGTACCTTATTCTTTTTGCCTGTATGATGAAGTCCTTTATCAAGGATTCAAATGTAAGCGAGCTTACATTGTGGGTACGGATCGCCACTTTCATTCTTTGCGATTTAGACGGCTTAAAATAGCCCTAATACTTTAGAAGCTTTTCCGCACTCGTCCTATCCAATGTTACCGTATAGGGGTCTCTTCCATGGTCAGGGTGATGAGGCCAATTTACTTGACCTTGCGTAGTTTTTCCATACCCACGTATAACTTGCTGAACTCTAAACGTCAGGTTATACTTACGGGTAACTTGGCAGACTATTTAGATATAGAGAACCAGAATAAGCATACCATCATGATCGAGTCCATCTTCGTGCGTATCATAGCAACCTTCGGAATCGTCTGAATCTTCATCAGACTCACTGAAACTCAAAATCAACTAAATTACTGGAAATAGAGACCATGTCTACCAGTAACAGCAAACCTTTCAGTCTTATAAGATGAATATGGTGGTGTTTGCGTATTTGACCGTGGCCACCTGTAATGCGAAAACTTTTATTTAAGCTTTATTTATTTACTTAAGCAAGTTATAATCAAAAATTGTAAAGAAATAGTCCTTCGCTAAGAAATACATCTGTATAAAAAATCTGATCATTTGGAGTTTAATATCCATTTCGATAAAAGTCTGAACTTTTGAACTAATACCGACTTTTATTTAACCTCCGCGCAAATAATCAATACTTTCTAGGATTACTGAGCCGACACGAGGTCGGTACGAAAATATTTATTCGGCTAACGCATCGACGTCTTCGACTTCTTCAGAGCCAGATTGGTTCGAGTCGATGGACCACGGGTGGTCTTCCTCCCGCTGTGGATGTTAGTTGTCGCATTTTGAGTTCAACCACATCGAGGAGAAAACCAACTGTGGTCCATCGACTAGAACCAATCCGGCTCTGAAGAGGGTGAAGACGTAGAGACGTTCACCTTTATCACCTGCTGCCCCGTTAATCGTCGAGTGACTCGAGCGGGCGCCAGTAAATCCTCCGCTTTTCACTGTCGCGTGCAAGAGTAGCCCAGTGGGTTCCGCTCGCTCTAGGAACTCGTCGAGCATCATAACTTCCTACTAGGCTTATCGTGAAAAACTCTGACCATCGGGTCGGTTGTCTTCCCGCAGAACGATTGACATCCCGAGGAATCCAGTCACTAACGGTAGTGTCCATCGGTTCCAATTCATACGCATTACGTGTCCGCTTCACCTAATCTCCGACTGTTTGGCATACAGAACGGCATCTTTGGTTTTTAATCGTTGACGCAGGTCGGAGCTTCGGATCCCATCCCTTACTTGTGTGAAACGGGGGACACTCCTAGCATCGTCCTTACGACTGTGCGTTCGATAACGCTGAGTGACCTTTCATATTACTTACGCAGTGACCAGGTTTCTGACGCATACGTTAGGGCAGAAAGTACCGTTGTGTTGAAAAAGTAGGCATGGAGTCGGGTGCTTTTTGTTTTCTTCACAACATCCCCAATGCTCTTGAAAGCTCCCCAAGCCGCTCGTTTCCTTCTGCTTAACTCTGGAGCTTAGCCGTTCAACATGTTCATTTCACGACCTAGTTAGACATAACTGGAGCATTCGAAGCTATTTGTTTCGCTGAGGGTAAAAGAGACATACGAAACCAATCCATTCTTCATGAACAACGTTTTTGTGGATTTAGTCGAAAACCAATCTTTCCACAGGCTTTATCAAAGTCGTCAAGCATACGTTCCACCTGGCTAATGTTCGATGTTATAAGGGCGATGTAATCAGCAAAGCGAAGATGGTGTAACTACCGACCATCGATTTTCACTCTCATATTATCCCATTCCAATGTTCGCATGACGTTCTGGAGGGTTGCGGTAAATAATTTTGGCGAGTTAGTATCCCCTTGCCTAACTCCTCCTTTGACGTCAATGTTAATATCGTAGTAGAATGGTGATACCATGGCTGTAAAATTTTTGTACAGCTCACGAAGAATCTTTATGTACTGAGTAGGTAATCCCTGACTATCAAGAGCTTTCATGACTGCTTCTATCTCAATTGAATCAAAGGCCTTCTGTAAATCGATGAAAGTGAGACAGAGCGGTCTTTTGTGCTCTCGCAATACTTCAATAAGCCGTGTTACCGTGTGGATGTGGTCTATTGTACCAAATCCTTTTCGAAACCCCGCTTGCTCACATGGCTGTCCTTCGTCCAGTGTTCTGTCAATCTTGTTTAGGATGACTCGAATGAAAAGTTTGAAGACGATAGACAGTAGGCAGATTGAGCGATGGTTGCCGATATCGTGCAGGTCACTCTTCTTGAACAATAACACGGTCTTGTTGGTTTTCCACTGAGTAGGAACCTTGCATTCAGACAGGTAACGTGTGAAGAGCC